AAAAATACACCATTTAAAAAAATACACCATTTAAAAAAATACACCATAAAAATAGATTGTATTAAAATATCATATTAAAATATATTAAAAATCATATTAAAAATCATATTAAAAATCATATTAAATTATCATATTAAATTATCATATTGAAAATAACCTTAAAAGTATATGATATTAAAGTATCATATTAAAAGCAACCTTAAAAGTATATGATATTAAAATATCCTATTAAAATATCATATTTTAAAAAATTAATATTTAAAATAGATATTGAAAAATCTATCATATTTTTAAAAGTTAATATTAAAATATGTCATTAAAAACATATATTTTGAAAAATTTATATCAATATATCATTTTTAGATTGTAATATTAAAATACATCATAATAAAATATATGTTTAAAATTTAATATTAAAAATATATCATATTAAAACCACGTCCTAGTACACCATTTCATATTAAAATACATCTTATTACAAATGTCATATAAAAATATATTTAAAATCTATCATATTAATCATATTAAAATTAATATTAATCTTTCATATTAAAAACATATCATATTAAAATATATCTTATTAAAAATATGCCATATTAAAGAGCTTTGTGTTTTCTCCTTAATTCCAGTTGCATTGAAAACACAAACCCTGATAAATATCAGGAAGTTTTTATGGATTAAACAGTTTCCAGTTCTGTAAATTATAATACTGAAGAAAAAAATGCTATAAGATATATTAAATAAAACAATCCTACACAAAGGAGGGAGGCAAGGACAAAGCAGGAGGGTGGTGAAGGACTGCAATGGAATTCTCAGAGAAACTGTGGTTGCCCCTGGATCCCTGGAAGTGTCCAAGGCCAGGTTGGAACAACCTGGGCTAGTGGAAGGTGTCCCTGCCCAAGGCAGGGGGTGGAACTGGATGGTCTTTAAGGTCCCTTCCAACCCAAACCATTCCAGGATTCCATGATTAAAGGAAGATTCGGGGAAGGTTCAGCAGCAGCACAACATTATTGAAGACACTGACATTTGGAAAAGATGCCTAACTAGGTTCAATCAGGTTATTCCTGGGATAAAACCTTGCTATGGATGAATGGACACATCACTGGGAATCAGCACAGCCCTGTCCCAGGTTGGGCAGAGAAGCTGTGGTTGCCTCTGGATCCCTGGAAGTGTCCAAGGTCAGGCTGGAGCAACCTGGGCTGGTGGAAGGTGTCCTTGCCCATGGCAGGGGGTGGAATGAGATGGAGCTTTAAGGTCACTCTCAATCCAAATCATTCCAGGATTCTGGAGCCCCTCTGCTCTGGAGCCAGGCTGGGAGAGCTGGGATTGTTCACCTGGAGAAGAGAAGGCTCCAGGGAGAGTTGAGAGCCCCTTGTAGGGCCTAAAGGGGCTCCAGGAGAGCTGGAGAGGGACTGGGGACAAGGCATGGAGGGACAGGACACAGGGAATGGCTTCAAACCGGAAAAGTGAAGATTTAAATGGGATATTGGGAAGCAATTCCTGGTTGGAAGGGTGGGGAAGCCCTGTCCCAGGTTGCCCAGAGAAGCTGTGGCTGCCCCTGGATCCCTGGAAGTGTCCAAGGCCAGGTTGGAGCAACCTGGGCTAGTGGGAGGTGTCCCTGCCCATGACAGGGGGTGGAACTGGATGAGCTTTAAGGTCCCTCCAACCCAAACCATTCCCTGATTCCGTGAATATCCACATTAATGTGGTACATTCCAATGTGGATTTTGTCCAGACCCAAAGAGAAATGTAATAATTGTAATTAAGATGATAAAATCAACAGGAATGGAGGAAGAAGGTGGGTATAAACTCATGTTGAAGCAGCAGAACAGAGGTCAGCAGGTACAGCAAAGCTCCATCCCAGGAAAAGTGGATAAACATCAATTCTTTAGACATTTTATAAGTAATTATCCCCTATCCCTTTCCATTTGTCTGTGATAACATCACATCCACACAGGAAAGTCCCTTTAACTGCACAGTTGGGGTGAAATCTTGTAATAGCACAACATTTCATCTATAATTCCTCAGTCTTTTATCTTGAGAGAATAATTAAAGAACATTTAGCAGATACCTTTGTAAAGGGCTACTGAAAACCTTTTAAAACTGTATTTGAAGATTATCTGACTATAAAGAAATCCTATAAGGAGCAGTGAAATATAAAAACAGTTTGAATATATGAGACCAGGGTACAAGCCTGAACACACTCTTATCAAACAGTTTTTTATGTTATTAATGCAAATATACCTACTTTATTATTATACCTACTTTATTATTATACCTACCATTTTGGAATAAATAAGGATTTTTGTCTTATGAATGAATACAGATTTTAAGGACAAAGAGAACTATCATCTCACCCAGAGAGAACCTGAAAAATGGCAACCTTTACTCAGGTTTGCCATTAATTCTAAAGGAAGAAACAAGATTTTCAGTTTTACCCGAGACAAAAATAATCTGTTAGAGAAATTCCAGGGGAGGGACAAACCCTCTGCCTCGTTTGGAAGGTGGGTTTGGACAATAAAATTACACCAAAAGCAGTTTGGAAACGCAAAGAAATCACATCCAGGTCAGGGATTGATTTAACAGTAAAATCTTAATTGTTGAGCAGTTAAAAAAAGGCCACTGTGAACATACCCAGCAGTGAGCCCTGAGCTGGATCTCCAGGAAAACGTCTTCTGGATGCTTCTCCTAAAGACAACATTCCTTCCTCCAGAGTAGGGAATTCTGACAGGTCATTCCTCTCACAAGTCAGGCCAAGCTTTGTCTCTGAGGCAGCACTTAAACAGTTGGAATCTACTTCTGCTGGAAGCTGGAACCATGGCTCAATTCCCTAAAAAACACAACAGGAGAAAAAAGTGCTCCAGCAGCAAGGAAGTTTTATGAGAGGCATTTCCAAAGGAAATAATTACTAAGTACTGAAACAACATAAGTAATGATTCTAAGTTGTATTTCTTATACAAATACTCAGTTTTTAATGTAAAAAAAAATATATGATAAACTAATAAAAGCAATAAAATACCCCAGTGAATGATCAAAGTCCAGCACAATCCCTGTTTAATACCTGAAAGTCTGAAACTCTACGAAAATATTTAAAGCTCTTTTCCACACCACAGTTTTGCTGTGGGAAGCCCAGTTTTTGCCCAAGGTTCTTCCAATCGTTCACAAACACAACTCTTGATCAGCTCAATCCTTCCAAACCACCTGTGAGCTCCTGGAATCCTCGGAGCAATTAAACATTTGGCAGCACATCCGGCAGGCGGGAGCGGCCAGGATGCGGGATCTCAATTAAGGCAGAGAGAGTACTTCATGAGGGAGCTGGGAGTGGGGATGGACAGGAAGCTGAACAGGAGCCAGAGTGTGCCCAGGTGGCCAAGAGGGCCAATGGATCCTGGCCTGGATCAGGAACAGTGTGGCCAACAGGACCAAGGAAGTGATTCTTGGCCTGGACTCAGCACTGGTGAGGCCACCCCTGGAGTGCTGTGTCCAGTTCTGGGCCCTCAGCTCAGGAAGGACATTGAGGGGCTGGAGCAGGTCCAGAGGAGAGCAACGAGGCTGGGGAAGGGACTGGAGCACAAGTGCTGTGAGGAGAAGCTGAGGGAGCTGGGGCTGTTCAGCCTGGAGAAGAGGAGGCTCAGGGGAGACCTCCTCACTCTCTGCAACTCCCTGACAGGAGGGGGGAGCCAGGGGGGGGTTGCCTTTTCCCAGGCAACCACCACTAAGACAAGAGGGCTCGGGCTTCAGCTGTGCCAGGGGAGCGTTAGGTTGGAGATTAGAAAGAATTTCTTTGCAGAGAGGGTGCTCAGCCATTGGAATGGGCTGCCCAGGGAAGTGGTGGATTCTCCCTCCCTGGAGGTGTTTAAGGTGAGACTGGATGTGGCATCAGTGCCATGGGCTGGGAACCACGGCGGGGTTGGATCAAGGGTTGGACTTGATGATCTCAGAGGTCCCTTCCAACCCAGCTGATTCTCTGATTCTATGACGATCATTTCCATCTCATAATTAACTTTCCAGCCCCAAGCCCAGCAAAGCTCAGTACAAATACCCAATGAGCAGCAGTTTTCCTCCGGATTGCTTCTCCCAGGGAGATCCCACTGGCCGCTGATCCCTGGGTTTTGCTGCTGCTGCTTCGGCTCCAGGATTCCTCCCTCCGCTGCCGGCGTGGGGGAGTTGTGGCAATGGGCTACAAGGAGTTAATTGCTGATTAAAAACACACTATTTTTTCCATTTCAGTGTGTGTGTGTGTGTTTATTTACTCATTATGAAATACATAAAATATTCAAGTCATCCCCCAAAGGCCAAAAAATCGGGTCCTCCCCATCCTCAGGCGGTGCCTTAAAGTCCATCCAGATTCCCAAACCTGGCTAAAAGGGGCAGCTCCTTCCCCACTTTAGATCCCAAAAATCTGAGCCTGATTTTGTGCACATCAGCCAATCATTTCTGAGGCATTTATTTCTCATTCCCAAATCCAAATAAATCACAAAACACCAAAACTATTCATCACCTTGATCAGAGTCTGACATTTGTCCTGTGTTAATTCAATGGTTGCTGGGTTTCTAATACATATTTATATATATATATATATTTACTTATTTATTTATACATATTTTATATATTACAACATTGTAATATTTATTATTTGATTAAAATCATGTTCTTACTTATATCAATGTTATAAATTACATTTTAAAAGCCATCTTATGCAAATAACTTCAAGTAAGCCCAGTTAATTTCTAGATTATAATCAGGCAATACTTTGAGGGCAGGAATTGAAGTTAACTTGGATTCTTGCCTGGAAAAGTAGTTGTAACATCATTTTTCTTCCCCATGAGGCACCAGAGGAAACTGTTCCTGAACTCAGAATGAAATTTCTCCTCTAGGACATCCCATTGCTGAGGTCACAGAGGTTGGAACAGCTTTTCCCAGACAGCACAGCCAGGCAGGTTTATTGGGATTATCACTGGGAAAACAGGTATTCCAGGAACACAAAAATGCTCCCTGTCACCTGCACCAGGAATTATGGATCCACTGCCTGGTTGGAATTACAGTGATCCACGAAGTGGGAATTCACATGCGAGGGGCAAAAGTAAAAGGTCACAGACAGAGAAAAGGATTTCCCAGGATGAAGGAGAGAAAAGTCCAGACCCAAGCCCTGTTTTACTGTATATCCACAGCTGCCTTTCCTTCCACAGCTGCCTTTCCTTCCACAGCTGCCTTTCCTTCCACAGCTGCACTTACTTCCACATGGAATTCCCAGAGAAGCTGTGGCTGCTCCTGGATCCCTGAAGTGTCCAAGGCCAGGCTGGAGCAACCTGGGAGAGTGGAAGGTGTCCCTGCTCATGGCAGGGGGTGGAACTGGATGAGCTTTAAGGTCCCTCCAACCCAAACCATTCCCTGATTCCGTGAATATCCACATTAATGTGGTACATTCCAATGTGGATTTTGTCCAGACCCAAAGAGAAATGCAAGGAATTATAACTAAGATGATAAAATCAATAGGAATGGAGAAAGAAGGTGGGTATAAACTCGTGTTTAAGCAGCAGAACAGAGGTCAGCAGGTACAACAAAGCTCCATCCCAGGAAAAGTGGGTAAACATCAATTCTTTAGACATTTTATAAGTAATTATCCCCTATCCCTTTCCATTTGTCTGTGATAACATCACATCCACACAGGAAAGTCCCTTTAACTGCACAGTTGGGGTGAAATCTTGTAATAGCACAACATTTCATCTATAATTCCTCAGTCTTTTATCTTGAGAGAATAATTAAAGAACATTTAGCAGATACCTTTGTAAAGGGCTACTGAAAACCTTGCAAAACTGTATTTGGAGATTATCTGACTATAGAGAAATCCTATAAGGAGCAGTGAAATATAAAAACAGTTTGAATATATGAGACCAGAGTACAAGCCTGAACACTGCCTTTACATCCACAGCTGCATTTCCATCCACATTTTATGCTCTGAAAAGGGTCAAAACCCAACCACACTTGAGAGACTGAAGTAACAGAATCATGGAATCACTGAGGTTGGAAAAGACCTCCAAGGTCATCAAGGCCACCCTGTGCTCCATCCCCTCCTTGTCCCCAGCCCAGAGCACTGAGTGCCACATCCAGGCCTTCCCTGGACACCTCCAGGGATGGGGAATCCACCAAAACAGATCCTCAAGGAAAGATAATCACTTCCTGAAGTCAAATATTTCCCACACAAGCAGGATCCTCCTGCTGGTCCTGAGTTAATTTGTGTTTTCCCAAGCAAAGCCCAAAGCTCCAAGTGGCAGCTCCCACCAGCAAAAGGAAATAATCCCTCCTTCCCAAGGGATCTCCTGAGGGAGCAGCTGGAAGGAAGCAAAGAGGCAACAGCACATTTTGCTTCAGGATTTCATTTTTAATCCTCATTCCAAAGAGGAATATCCAAGAAATAACACAATGGCAGGAATCTGCACTGTGTGTACCAGGGTACAGGTATTTAATGAAGCTGTTGCAAGCAAGAAGTAAAGATTTAGTAAATTAGTATAATCATCTCTGAGGGCTTCCATGTAATTAAACCCAAAGGAAGGAAACCCAATAAGCTTTTTTTTCCTGAAATCCAACACCTCAGAAGTTCAGTTTTGCTGCTAAATACATAAAAGAGGGGATAAAAGACAAAAATAAAGCTGAACAAACCACAACCACTCCCCCACACAGTGCCAGGGAATTAAACAGTGGGAGCAGCAGCTCCTGTTTGGATCTCTAACGTGAAATATGAACAATGCCTGGTTTTTAACTCCTCAGAGTTCAAATATCCAGGTTAGTCCTCCTTTATTCTGCCCCCCCCCCCCAGACCACTAAAATATCCCAGTAAAAATATCACACAATAGAACCCAGGAGAACAAAGGAAAAAAAGAAGATTTCTAGAGACACAGAGGGAAGAGAACTCCCAAGATGATTAACTCCAACAATCTGATCTTCCCAAAAGATCAGAGATACTCAGTGATTTCTTCCAAACGCTTCAGCTCTTTTCTCCTTCCTAAAAAACCAGAGCTAAAGGGCCGGATTAATTCAATATAAACCTGTGTTTCAGTTTCCTAATCCAGCTGAAAATGCAGCTGCAGAATTAGGAGTCCTGGAAAAACAGGCAGTGGAGTTCAGGTCCAATTTTTCCAACATCAGGGAGTTTTTACCCCAAATTAAGGTGACAAAGTAACAGTGACAGAGGCAGATCTCGCCTTGACAATTCAGGATTTATTTTTCCCTATTTTGCCAAGAACATTCCCAGTTCTGACAGCACTTCCCAGAGCATTTATCACTTCCCCTGGCGCAGCTTTATCTGTTTATTTTCTAGGTCTCACCATCCACTATTCCCAGGATTCATCAGTGAAAATTCTTAATGGGAACAAGTAAAAAAAAACCCACCAAAACCTGGAATGTCTTTCCCAGTTCATGCCAAGATGAAAAACCCTTCTGAGGTCACATAACAAACCAAATCCACCACCCCTTTAGCTCCTGCAACCCTCACCCTCTCAAAGATGGTAATTAAATGGGTTGGAAATCGATCTTCAATATTCTCAATACTCAATATTCTCTTAACATTTTATTTAAAGTGGTTTCATGGAATCATTAAAGGTTGAAAAAGCCCAACCATTAACTGACAGATCCACCACTAAACCACGTCCCCAAGTGCCACATCCACGTGTTTTTAAAACCCTTCCCTGGGTTGGTGATTCCACCCCTTCCCTGGGCAGCTGTGCCAATGCTTGACAAACCTTTCAGGGAATAAATTATTCCTAATATCCAATCCAAACCTCCCCTGGTACAACTTGGGGCTGTTTCCCCTTGTCCTGCCCCCTGTTCCCTGGGAGAAGAAACTCTGGTTTTTATTTGTCCATTAGTTTATGTTCAAACTGCACGTGGTGATAATTCAGAAACTCTATATCATTTATCACAAATAACACCTAATTCCAGCTTTCCAGGTTTTTTCCCTGGCCTGGGAAGCCTCTGGAAGCAGGAGCAGGGAAGGAAGGTGTGAGCTCCTCCATGCCCTGTCCCCAGTGCAGTGTGAGCCCTGTGCCACTTGGAGTCACCAGCCCACAGCTGAGGGCAAGGAATGAAGGAACATGGAAAAACAGGAACCCATTTCCCTCTTAAAACATGGAATTGGCCACCCTGGCCCTGAAGATTAAAGATATTATTTAGCCAGAACACAGGGAATGTAGGTCAGGTTGTCTCATCCCAACCTGCTCATTTCATGGAGCAATTATCAGCTTGGAATGAAAAACCAAGGAAAAGCAAACCCGCTGCAGTGCAAAAACCCTTCAGAGGCCACACACAAACCCAGAACTCCCACAAAAACGCAACTGGATTTCATAATAACCCGATAATTTCATTTATTTACAGCTTTATAGCCCATATCAACCCTGCCTGGTGTGTCAGAAAAAAAAAAAAAACTAGTCTCATTTAAGTACAGAATGAGGTTTTACATCTCTTTTTTTTTTTTTTTTTGGCCAGAAGCCCAGTACAACAAATTGGATGAAAATCATCAGCATTTAAGTCCAGCTACTGAAATGAGTAACAAAATCCTCTTGTCTGCAAACAGTTCAGTACCAGAAGTTCATTGGGGAAAATACAAGAAAAGATTTCAAAAATATCAGTCAGAGAAATTTAACAAGGATTTGCTGCACTCAGGGCTGAGAAACACTAATTATTTTGGGATTATTTTGGGATCAGACCCAGTCAGCTCGGGGTGAGGAGGGGCAGGTCCTGTCTGACCAACCTGAGCTCCTTTTATGACACAGTGACCAGCCTGGTGGAGGAGGGGAAGGCTGTGGGTGTCTCTGTCTGGAATTCAGCAAAGCCTTGGACACTGTCCCCCATGGAACATCCCTGGAAAAGACTTGGCCAGGGGCACTCCCTGCTGGGTTAGGAACTGGCTGATGGTCAGGCCTGGAGATTGGTGGGAATGGAGCTGCATCCAGCTGGGATCCATCACCAGTGGTGTCCCCAGGAATCCTTCCTCCTCCTCTTCCTGCCTTCCTCCTCCTCCCCTTCCTCTTTCTCCTCCCCTTCCTCCTCCTCCTCACCTTCCTCCTCCTCCTCACCTTCCTCCTCCTC